TCAGTTTCTGATCTTTTTTCAGATTCTGATCTTTTTTCAGATTCAAATCTTTTTTTCAGTTTCAAAACTTTTTTCAGTTTCTGATCTTTTTTTCAGTTTCAAAACGTTTTTCAGATTCAGATCTTTTTTTCAGTTTCAAAACGTTTTACAGATTAAGATCTTTTTCATATTCAGATCTTTTTTTCATTTTCAAAACTTTTTTCAGTTTCAGATCTTTTTTTCAGTTTCAAAACTTTTTTCAGTTTCTGATCTTTTTTTCAGTTTCAAAACGTTTTTCAGATTCAGATCTTTTTTTCAGATTCAGAGCTTTTTTCATTTTCAAAACTTTTTTCAGATTCTGATCTTTTTCAGTTTCAAAACTTTTTTCAGATTCAGATCTTTTTTGAGATTCAGATCTTTTTTCAGATTCAAAACGTTTTTGAGATTCAGATCTTTTTTCAGATTCAAAACGTTTTTGAGATTCAGATCTTTTTTCAGATTCAAAACGTTTTTGAGATTCAGATCTTTTTTTCAGTTTCAAAACTTTTTTCAGTTTCAAAACTTTTTTCAGTTTCAAAACTTTTTTCAGTTTCTGATCTTTTTTTCAGTTTCAAAACGTTTTTCAGATTCAGATCTTTTTAATATTCAGATCTTTTTTTCAGTTTCAGAGCTTTTTTCAGATTCAGAGCTTTTTTCATTTTCAAAACTTTTTTCAGATTCAGATCTTTTTTCAGATTCAGATCTTTTTTCAGATTCAAATCTTTTTTTCAGTTTCTGATCTTTTTTTCGGTTTCAAAACTTTTTTCAGATTCTGATCTTTTTTTCAGATTCAGAGCTTTTTTTCCGATTCAGATCTTTTTTCCGATTCAAAACTTTTTTCAGTTAACGATCTTTTTTTCAATTTCAAAACGTTTTTCAGATTCAGATCTTTTTTTCAGTTTCAGAGCTTTTTTCATTTTCAAAACTTTTTTCAGTTTCAAAACTTTTTTCAGTTTCAAAACTTTTTTCAGATTCAAATCTTCTCTCAGTTTCAAATCTTTTTTTCGGTTTCAGAGCTTTTTTAGATTATGATCTTTTTTTCAGTTTGAAAACTTTTTTCAGATTTCAATCTTTTTTTCAGATTTCAATCTTTTTTTCAGATTTCAATCTTTTTTTTCAGTTTCAGAACTCTTTTCAGATTCTGATCTTTTTCAGTTTCAAAACTTTTTTCAGATTCAGAGCTTTTTTGAGATTCAGATCTTTTTTCAGATTCTGATCTTTTTCAGATTCAGAGCTTTTTTCAGTTTCAAAACTTTTTTCAGTTTCTGATCTTTTTTCCAATTTCAGAGCTTTTTTAATTTTCAAAACTTTTTTCAGATTCCAATCTTTGTTCAGATTCAGAGCTTTTTTCATTTTCAAAACTTTTTTCAGATTCTGATCTTTTTCAGTTTCAAACCTTTTTTCAGATTTCAAACTTTTTTTCAGATTTCAATCTTTTTTTTCATTTTCAAAACTTCTTTCAGATTCTGATCTTTTTCAGTTTCAAAACTTTTTTCAGATTCAGAGCTTTTTTGAGATTCAGATCTTTTTTCAGATTCAGAGCTTTTTTGAGATTCAGATCTTTTTTCAGATTTCGATCTTTTTTTCAGTTTCAGAACTCTTCAGATTCAAATCTTCTCTCAGTTTCAAAACTGTTTTCAGATTCAAATCTTTTTTCAGTTTCAGATCTTTTTTCAGATTCTGATCTTTTTTCAAATTCAGATCTTTTTTCAGATTCAAAACTTTTTTTCAGTTTCCAATCTTTTTTCAGATTCAGATCTTTTTTGAGATTCAGATCTTTTTTGAGATTCAGATCTTTTTTTTCAGTTTCAGAGCTTTTTTCATTTTCCAAACTTTTTTCAGATTCAGAGCTTTTTTCAGATTCAGAGCTTTTTTCATTTTCAAAACTTTTTTCAGATTCAGAT